CACCCCTAGGCACTCCAGCCACCGGCACAGCCGCACTCGGCCCCCTCGGGCGGGCGCGCAGGGCAGAGGCTGAAGTGCGAGGCACTTGTCACTGTGGGAGGCGGCAGAAGCACCTGGCTGGGACACACAGCGAAGCGAGGACATGGGCTGAATGGGGGCAGCAGGGTTTTGGGGGGCGCCGAAGGAGGCCCGGCCAGGTGCAGTGGGGGCCCTTTCAGAGGCTGCACGACCCCACACCTCTGCCGTGTGCCCCGCGGGAGTTGGCGGCGGCACACCAGGTATGAGCTGATGGCCGCCCTCTCTCTCCCTGACAGAACGGTGCTGGGCCCTTGGGGACAGACCACAGAAGCACAAGCAGCTTTCCTGGCCCCAGGAAACGGGGTCAAGGGCTTTCACCAGCAGCCTGAAGATGCAGAAACCAAGCCAGGACCCCCGTGCACCCCATCAAGCCCAGGGTTCCAGTTCCATCCCCCGACCCCAAGGCTGGGCTTAGACCAGAGACCACACTTGTCCACCACAACTTCCTTGCAAAAACCCTCAGCTCACCCGAGGGCCAATGGAAATTTATTAATTTTTTTGTCCTTTTCCATCTTTCCCCAAGTGGCTTTTCCTTGCAAAATGCCTGACATGACACCAGAGGGGAACCTGGGAGCAGGGGGGCACCCCAAGGGGCAGCCCAGGGACTTAAATACAAGCTGGAGGGCAGGGCACAGGTGGGATAGGCAAGAGACAGCACGAGGGACATGGCTGCTCAGGGAGACCAAAGACTTGCTTTCTTGCAGGAAGCAGCTGTGCCAGAGGGCAGGGGACTAGGATCCTGGGTGCAGAGTGGATGAGCAGAGAGGCCCCCAACCCCGGATGGAACCCATATTCCCCAGAGAAGTAGCGGCAGGGGATGAGGGCCTTCCCTGGTGGGCTCCAGAGACCCAGGGGAGAGTGAGCCAGATGTGCTGCCTCGGGGAAGGGGAAGAGGTGCTAGCAGAGGGTTAAGGCTGGTGCCCAGCCTCTGGCACAGTGGGCCTTCCGCCTCTGCCTGACGTGGGGACAAAGGGGCACACTGGGCAGGCAGCGCATGGGTCTGTCTCTGGAAGGGCAGAGGGCGGCAGGAGCAGACTCCCTCCAGGCTCAAGACACAAGCCCAGTGCGGCTACCCACCCACCCGTCCTAGATATACTCAGACCCCACCGCAGCTGGACGGCTCGAGCTGGGAGTGTGGGAGGGGAAAGGAGGCAGTGGGGAGAGGAAAGGGTGGGCTGCTGGGCCCCTGTGGTCTCCATGCCTGTCCTGAGGTCCAGCCCAGGGCTCTGGATCCCAGGTCCTGGATCCCCTGGCCACTCTCCTGGCCCTGGGCACTGACTGCAGCCAGGGCAGTAGAGGCCGGGGAGACCTCAGCTCTTGGGCAGAAGGAGAGCACGAAGAAGGGGAAGGAGAGAAACCCAGTGCAGCATACATGGGGGTGGAAGGGAGACCGACAGAAGAGCCCTCGTTCCAAAGAAAGGTGTGTAGGGGGGCATCTTGGAAAGTCACCTAGAGGCAGCAGCAGAGCAGGCCCCTGCCCTGCCTGACCACAGGTCCTGAGTGTCCTCCCTCAGGGACTCTGACAGAACTGGGGCTCAGGGCAGCAGGCAGATGGGCCAGAGGGAGATGGGGAGCCCAGGACACCCCAAAGCCACAGACTCAAATGCCCCAGGAGAGGGAGAGGGAGGCACCTCCTGCCCCCCACCAGGGACATCATCTGGAGAAGGTGCCCCCTCCTGTCCTACTCCATGTGCCCCTCCTAGCAACAGCCACCGCCAGCCGGCTTTACAGGGGTGCTGTCGATCTTGAGATTGGGCCGCTCGCCCCCGGAGGCTGCTCCGGGCCCCATCCGCTTTTTGATCTCGGCAGCCATGGTCATGAACGCCTGCTCGACATTGGTGGCGTTCTTGGCACTTGTCTCCAAGAAGGGGATGCCCAGAGAGTCTGCAAACTCCTGACAAGGGAGAGGAGAGAAGAGGAGGGGAGAGCAGGGTGAGGGGCAGGAGGCCCCAGGGCCCCCAGCCCAGGCAGACCGGCCCATCTGCTACCTTGGCTGTGGTGTTGTCCACCACCTTCTTGGTGGTGAGGTCGCTCTTGTTGCCCACCAGGAGCTTATTAACGTTCTCACTGGCGTAGCGGTCAATCTCCTGCAGCCACTGCTTCACGTTGGCATAGGACTCCTAGAGGGGGCCAGGGGCCAAAGTTATTTTGCTCCCAACTGTCACCCCTACCCCAGACCTGGAGAACAAGACCTTCTCTGAGGGGAACAGTACAGCTCTGGGCCCCTTGAGTCCTCGGCTCAGGGATGCAGAGGAAGCCCTCTGCTCCAGGCTGAACCTTCCTCCCTGCCCTCCTCCATCCAAGATCCAGAAGAGCCCCAGCAGCCTGCCAGCTGCCCTAGCACCTCAACAGCTGCTCCAACCCAGGCCTGCCAGCTCTGCTCCCTGCAGCTGTCTCTGCCCGAGACACTTGCAGGCCTAACCACATGTGAGAAGCAAAGAGAGAGTGGAGGGGAGACAGGAACAGAGAGTAACAGGTCTGCAAGAGTTACAGTTCCCACCGTGGCCTGAAAATCCCTTTAAGGTTTGTAGCTTTGGAGCGCAGGAGGTCGAGGATCCTCTCAGAGGTGGCCCTGGCCCATGGCGAGACAGGACTCCTGGGAACAGCCTAAAATTCATCCTACTTTTGGCACCAACAGCCTTATGACCCGGCTTCAGACTCTTCCAGCAGCTCGCCCCTACCCCACACACAAAAGACAGGCCTTTCAGGAAAGTGCTCAAGCTAGTGCCACTTTTCCTCCTTAGGAGCCAGAGGCCTGATGACATCACACTGGCTCAAACTTAGACTGGCTCAAACTCTTGCCATGTTCCAAGTTGGGTCCTGCACTAAGTGCTGGGGACAAAGGGGGAAATCATACCTGAGTCCTGCCCTAACACATTCACAGGACAGCAGAGGAATAGACCAGGCCACACACAAGGGCAAAACAGGTTAGAAGGCAGGGACCGGGGAGCCCCCAGACCACCTCTGCTTGAGGTGGGAGC